GCTTGACAGTCAGGCATATGCATGCCTTCCCAAATGGCGGCCATCACGGCGCTTTCTGCTTCAGGGACCCACCGATTTCTTCCAAAGAAACAATCATGGAGCAGCAGGACATTGAGGCTCGTGACAGGTGTATAGCAGCGGAGTCCTGGCTTGTTGCATAGTGATGGGTCACGGCAGACGCCTTAGCAGGACGACCATGCCGTGGTCTCCAAACACGAGCGGGATGGAAAACTACACGCTGTTACGCAGTCAGGACCAGACGGACACCATGGCCGAGGCAATGCAAGCCAGCTCTGTAGTAGTTGCGCGATTTCGATTCATGCGTGTAGAGGTGAGGAAGAAATGGTGACGCGGCCTGCGGACGTCTCAACAACGACTAGTTTTGGGCCGCTACATCCAAAATTCCGTTGACCTCACAATCATATTGACGTCGAGATTCCAGCTCTGGCGGGGAAAAGGGTGTTGACCTTTGTGTTGACCTTGGCGCCAACAAGATACCGTGTACCGGAGAGGAGATGTCGTAGCACAGCGGCTGGTTCCTGCGGAGGACCTTGCAATTTGATGTTGTTTAATGCAACAACCGTAAATGGCTAAAACGCCGCTGAACAGTGGCTGATGGCAGGAATGAGGTCGGCGGCTGCCCAGGCGTTCGAGACACATCACACGTGATGGCCCTGCTGAACTGGCGCCCACGCGTCGTCGTCTCGAACTGCGTGTCTCGCAGCGAACCGGCAGCGTGAAGCGCTCACGAAGGATGACGCAGCCCACTTCGAAGTTGAACTCGGAGAGCCGAATCCTGTGGAGCGAAGGATCATTTGAAACGACCATTTTCGCGAGTGGCTTGCGGAGGCGCCGTTTCAGTGTCCGCCGCCCCGCTCAGGCGCCGAATGGCAGCCAACCAATCTCAGCCCCCTGGTGGGTGACCCCGGTCCCTGCAGCGCTAAGCCTTCCTCCAATCGTGGCCTGCCAGGGCCCTGTAATAATCAAACTTGCCTCCCTTCATACCCACCAGTGGCCCACGCCTAAAGGTGATCTACTCTTCTTCACCCCAACTTTGTTCGCCCAAGTCGTTCTTTACTTCGCTTCAGTCCTGCCGTGCAGCCCATCTTTCCCCGCCAGCTTCCAAGATTTTCCCCTGGTGGACAACTCATTGACGCTAGCCGGCTCGACCACTTCTACCTGCGGTCGTGTCACCTGGAATTCCCTGGACTTCTGGATTTGCCCTTGCTTCTTTCACTCTATTTCGCTCGACCACCGTGGGCGCTGTCAGCAGTTCCCCAGACGTCAAGTGAGCGTCCAGACAGTACTCTGTGTGACCATCCAACCTTTGGAAGAAGCTAGAGCGACGCACTCGACATTGCCTGAAGCCACGACTTGATCATTCACTCTTTACCATTTGGGATTACGGCATCCGCCGCTTACGCACCTCTGTCAATTGCTGGTCAAGACAGATAACATTCACTACCTGCCCCCCAGGACGTAGAAAGACCGCCCTGGACCCGTCTATCAAACCACAACAATGACTTTCTCAGAGACCCTTGGCAATGTTGTCAAGCGCGCAGGACATGGACAGGAGGACCCCACCGCAGGACTCGAGAACATCGATGTCCAGAACTACCTCGGTCGCATCTGGTGGTGCTTCGTTGTCGCCTTCGCCCTGTACCAGGTCATCCTTTACTTCGTCCGCTACGTCCGCACAGTATCATGCCTGAACAACGACACCCAGCGCTACTTCTCCATCCCCAACCACTGGTACGCCCGATTCAAGAAGTCCTGCCTCGATGCACCCCTCTGGCGCACTCGTCATCACCGCGAGTTCAAGATGTCCTCTGCCATCAACGTGGGAACCTTGCCCAGCCGTCTCCAGAGCTTCCTGCTTGTTGGCTACTTTGCTACCAACGTTGGTTTCTGTTTCTGGAAGATTGATTACAGCAGCTTCTCGGCCGGCGCTGGCGAGCTTCTCAGCCGTTCCGGTATCATGTCTGTCATGAACATGATTCCCCTTTTCCTCCTGGCCGGTCGCAACAACCCCATCATCAAGCTGACCGGTATCTCCTTCGACACCATGAACTTGGTTCACCGCTGGTTTGGACGCATCGTGATCCTCGAGGCTCTTGCCCACACCATCTGCTGGATCGCAAACAAGGTCCACACCAGTAAGTCAGATCACGGCATCAATGCTCGTAACCGCGCTGACTGTATATAGAGGGCTGGGCTGTTGTTCAAGCTTCAATCACTGGTAGCACATTCATCATGACCGGTTTCATCGTACGTTTTGGCACTGCCTAAAATATGATCTGCGCTGACATCTTACAGGGCACCGTTGCTTTCACGTTCCTCCTCCTCCAGTCTCCCTCCCCCGTCCGCCACGCCGCCTACGAGGTCTTCCTCCACGGCCACATCGTCGGTGCTGCGCTCGCCCTTGGCGCCGTCTGGGTTCACTTGGACAAGCGCCCTCAACAGATGATGCTGTACGGTGTTGTCGCTATCTGGGCTGCTGAGCGCTTCTTGCGCTTCTTCCGCCTCATCATCAACAACGTCGGCAACGGTGGTTCATCAGCCGATGTCGAGGTCCTTCCCGGCGACGCTCTCCGTATCACTGTCAAGATGGCTCGCCCCTGGAGCTTCCGCCCCGGCCAGCACGCATACCTGTACATGCCTTCCATTGGTCTCTGGACCAACCACCCCTTCTCCATCGCTTGGAGCGACGAAGAGGAGGACCCTCACCACATTGACGAGAAGGGTCTCCCCATGACCACCACCGACCTCGCCCTTCAAAAGTCCAAGACCAGCATGTCGTTCATCGTCCGTCGCCGTACCGGTTTCACTGACAAGCTTTTCCGCAAGGCGGATTTGTCCGCTTCTGGCCGCTTCTCGACCAGTTGCTACGCCGAGGGCCCTTATGGTGGTGAGGATCTTAGCTCGTATGGCACAGTCATGCTGTGGGCAGCCGGTATTGGTATCACTCACCAAGTACCTCACGTGCGCGACATCGTCGCCGGTTACGCTAACGGTACCGTCGCAACACGCCGCCTCACTCTTGTCTGGATCATCCAGTCACCTGAACACCTCGAGTGGATCCGAACCTGGATGACATCGATCCTCTCGATGCCGCGCCGCCGCGAGATCCTGAAGATCCTCCTCTTCGTCACGCGCCCACGCAGCACCAAGGAGATCCACTCCCCCTCGTCCAGCGTCCAGATGTTCCCCGGTAGGCCGAACGTCCAGAGCCTGATCGACCAGGAGATGCAGGAGGGTATCGGAGCTGCTTGTGTCACTACATGCGGTACTGGTGGCCTTGCCGACGAGCTTCGTCGCGCCGTTCGCAACCGCGAGCTGCAGTGGAATGTCGACTTCCGCGAGGAGTCTTTCTCGTGGTAGTTCGTGTCTTCCGTACGTCGTTCGTCTGCGCTGTTTCCACTCGGTATACCCCTCCCATGTTACGGCACCGTAACCATCTACTGTCCTGTTGCGAGCCAGGATCTACTGCACACAATTGCAATACCATTTGGCTGATTCATTGTACACATTTGATTTACGTTCTTCCGGTCTTTTCCGTCCTGTTACAAACATACTCTCCTTAACTTTTAACTCGTCTACTGCGTAGAAAGAGGGCACATAAGTAGTACGTGGCTCATGAAATACTATCATGTTGCCGCCACGGTTGCTCCAACTGGGAATTGTGTACTGTATATATGGGTATCTCCATCCTTAGGAATGCAACGACCATGACATTGACTCGGTTTGCTCTCATTCCACCATGACGTGTGTTTTCCCTCACTGCATCGCCTCAGGACTCTGCGTCGCCCCCTCGTGCGCCTCCTCCATCGCAAACCGATCCTGTATCCCCTTCCACCCTCTCACCACCACATCCGCCATGACCCCATGCCTCCCCAGCTTCTTCACCGCCTCCTCCACACTCACTAGATAACTCTGATACGCCGCCTCCTCCTCATCCACCCCCGTGCCCTCGTGATGCAGCGGCTCGTACCCCCGCGGCTCCATGGCCACCCTCTCCCTCAGCGTCAGATGATGCGGGTACGGCGGCGGAGGCATGTACGCGCCGCCGACCTCCGTCTGCAGGTCGGCCTCCAGCTCCGGCGGCAGCGTCTCAGCAACGTACCAGTACAGCACGTACTGCTTGGCCCCGTAGCCCAGCGGCATCATCTGCATCCAGACGGGCTCGGCGGTGAGCGGGGGCGAATGCACGCGCGGGTGCGCCTGGGGCTGGCGGTGCGCGGTGGGCAGCGGGAGGACGCGGTTGCGGTAGCCTGACTGTGCGTCTTACATCAGTACACATTACATTTCACTCTCTCGGTTGTGTACACGTGCTTCTACGAGGATGGGAGGGCGGGCATGCTGCCCGTGGCGGCGCTCACCTCCTCGTACCCTTCGCGCTCGGCGCCCGCCCGGCTGTCTTCGCCCGCGTCCCGCCGCCCTTTGGGCAGGAAGTAGTACTGCTCCCCCCGCCGGTCGCGCGCGCTACATATAACGACGCGCTGCGAGGCAAGGTGGAAGATTGCCACGCCGCCGCCTACAACGAGGTCTTCGCCGGCGAATTGGGCGATGACGGGCGGGAAGGAGGAGCGTGGGGGTGAGATGGGGCGGGGCATGGCGAGGTCAGGGGGCTGTTGTGTTTTGTGTGGGATGTGTAGACACATGCGGTTGACGGAGTGGGATTAGGGTGGTAGAAGGTGCTTCGTATGTGCTGCTGAGCAGTTACAGCAATTCGTGGGGTTCATGGTGGGAATTTTAATAGATGTAGATGTTGATGCCTGCGGTATATGCATGGAAAGTTCACCGGAGGTTTGTTGATGGTTGCCCCACCTGGTGCGTCACGGTGACCAGGGATCGATCGAACCTAGAAATCTCAGCCGCGGCGAACCAAAGGAAGTACAGATGATCGTGAGCAGCATCGATCATGTGCTTTGCCAAAGCAGACACAAATGATTTATATATTATTATATCGAGCATACTTTCATCAATCAGTTGATACAACTGGCCTAATGGCCCAATGGCAAGGCGCTTGACTACGATACAACCACGGCTCAAACCTGGTTAAGTCGGCATCAAGAGATTCCAGGTTCGACCCCTGGTTAGGTCACTTTTTGCTTTACACAACTTTCTTTTGATCGCTTTTTGGCCCTGGGAGCTGTTTGCGGTGTGGAAACGTTTTTTTGCGTTGATTTTTTGCTATGTCCGAATCGGGGAAGGCGCGGGTGTGCTTCCTCTTGGTTGGGACAATCAGAACGCCAGAATTGAGGCTATAACATTGGCTTTCCTGAAGCATCAAGATAAAGATACAGCGTTGTGGGGGTTCGTAAGGTATGGCAAGTATACTAAGCTCGCGGTGTCTTTCGGTGACTTCAACGGCCAGTTAGGTATCTCAAACAAGGCACACACTGCCAGACTACCAAGTACCGAACCCCAAGCTTTTCTGACATCTCGTCCTGTGTCAGCCGATGCGGTATGAACGGAGTGGAGAGATACATCACGACAGTGCTGGTGAGATGGGCTACGAACTCGCCGTTCCTAGAAGTATCGTTGAGCGTGACAAGTCCGCGGGTACGAGCAAGTGCCGCCGTTCCATGCGCCAATTTATGCCCTGGCGTCACAAGCAAGCAAGGGAATCGGTGGATCTTGGGACTGCGTGCTATAAAAGAGGCAGTATTCACAATTCGCTTGATAACCTGAAAACAGCGACGAAGGCTTGCTTCGAGCCCATGACTGCACAGCATTTGCATGGGCAAAAACCCACATTCCCATTAACAGAACTCATTCGTGGGCTAATGAGATTTTTTTCCCGTCATTGCGCTATCCTTTAGGATATTCCCTGTATTCTATTGTGGCCTTTTTGATAGTATGACGACCAACATCACGAAATATGTAGGCATTCAAAATTATATTCTGAAGTGAAGATACTCGGGTAATAGTACAAGGGTGGCGATAGAGCGACATGTGTTATGTCATTCGAGATCCTGTCGACACGGACGGGGGAACAAAGGCTGAGAGTTGCTGGACGGTTTGATATGACTGGGAGATGCTGGGAGATGTAAAGTGGAAGGGCAGGGTGCTATTGTGGACAGTCAGTGCACACCAACTAATCATGAGGAGCGACCTGCATCTTCGAACCTTGTGTACAGCTGCAAACAGACCGAAAGTAGTCGGCTATCATGTCTACTGATAAATGACTCCGTCAAGGACAAACGCATCGCATTGTCAGTAAATCCTCATCTCGATCTTCCATCAATGCCGTCAAAACCCACACTCTCGACTTCCCCACCGCTCTTCTCCCCCTAATCAGTCCCATTCCCCAACCGCATCGTACTCAGCCCCTCACTCCTGACCTTCTGGATATGCTCAATCGCCTCCATCAGATGCGGCACGAACGCCTTCGGGTTCTCCGTCGCGGGGAAGTGGCCCAAGCCGGGCATGGCCTTGTGCTTGGCGCCTGGGATCTTGTCCGCCGTTTTCTGCCCCATCTCGGGCGTGTTGGACCAGTCGTACTCGCCCGTCAGCATGTACACGGGGCAACTGTTTGTGTCGATGCTGGCGACGCGCGAGCGGCCGTCCCAGCCGCCGAAGTAGAAGTCGAGGTCGCCTGGGTGGGTTGTTAGCGTGTGAGACGAGGTGCAGATTGCTGTTGTTTCGTCTTTTTTGTTTGTCGAGAGGGGGTTAACTTGCCGTGGAAGATCTGCGCGGATGGTTAGTATCGTTGTCAGATGCGCGATCGAAAGCTGAAACTTACACCGTACGCCTGTGCGCTGTAGAGGTGCCAGATCAGATCCTTGTTGACCTTCGGTGCGGTCGGGGACATCATCTAAGACTGTTGGTCCAGTGGTGATAGTTTGGAAAACCTTAACTCACTCCATAGACCCATTCGGGATTGAACAGAGACTGGTTAACAAATGGCGAGCGATCGTGCCATGATCGCTCCATGTTCAGGTACTCCGAACTACCCAGCGTCAGTAATCCGCAACACTGTGAACACTCTTTGCTCACCCTTGCAGCGGAATGGTGCCTCCGGCGCCAACTTCCTTATGGCGGATGGCAACCGCTAGACAGACTTGTCCGGCCATGCTTGCTCCACAGATGATGGGCCTCCGCAGGCCCAGCTCCTTGACAAATGCCGCAATGATACCCACATAGCTATCTTCAGTGTTTGTGTGTGCGCCCGGTGGCAGGTTCTTGGTTGGAAAGCTCCGCCCATGGCCAGGCAGATCGAATGCGTACATTGTGCATTTCTTGCGCATTTGCGCGTTGTTCATGACACCATGGTATTGTCTACTGTCGCTCCCGGCCGTGTGCAGGAAGACAATCTGCTGCTTCCCCTCACCAGATGTCTCGTAGAAAACCTTGGACCTCCCCCATACAGGTGCGGTGAGGAAGACGTAGCGACCAATGATATAGTCTCGCTCGTCCTCAGCTTGCTCTTCCTCCTTCAGTGGACCGCAGTGCGCTTCGTGTGCGAGCTCGAGGACGCGGCGCCAGACATGAGCCCAGTATGCGTACGCTTTTTGGTCCCCTAGGACCTCGATGCCCTTCTGCTTGATGTTCATGCCGAACATGCCCCAATAGCTCTGGTAGGGCATGGCCGGCGTCTCCTTGAAGTGCTGCTCCCATTGCTCCGGCAAGGCGGAGAGGGTGAATAAGGCATCTTTGGAAGTGCCCGTACTGGCTTTTGCGCTACCGTTGCTGACTTCAATGAGTAGGGTGTTGTCGGACCCGTTTGACTTGATGCCAAACGTTGCAGGTTGATCGATAGCGTTAGAGGTAGTGAAGGCCTTCAGCTGCGCATCTGACTGGAGTAGACCGTTGAATTTATCTTGGCTGCTACCCAGCGCCTTCGTAAGATCGTCCCAGCCAGTCATGATGTTAATCAAGTGTTCGAGCAATTGGATAATATAGTTGTGAAGAAAGAAAGAGTGTTGATTGTCCTACAGGGAAGTAATTGCGAGAAACATAATCACAGCGGATACATAGTAGTTACACTGCCTATGATATATAAAGCCTACATGCCCATGAGGTCAGTGCAAGAGGGGCAGCTCTTGGTGCGGGGTTCATGCACGTGGTTGAAGTGTTCGACGACGACGAAGCACATGTCTACGCGTCTGGACAGGGTCTTTGTGTACGAAATGACAGTCCGCGGGGAGAATTAGTGCAAAAGCTCGCGGCGGCCGGACGGCGGAGTGGTGATCAAGCTGCAGAAGGGAGTTAGACTTCAAGCCAGAAGCGGTTTAGCTGTAGATCTTCCCCACACCCATTCCGTCCGGTGCGAGGGCCTCGGACTCGTCCCGCATCCGACATTAGAACGACCTCAGAATTATTTCTTGCTCAGCTATCTGCAACTCGGGTTTCACAGCACATGTCGAAAGCTAAAGCCCTCGTGACCTGTATTCACTAATAGCATCCTCACAAAACTTGTACGACGTACTTCCTATACTGAAGATAAGGTAGAGCGTTTGGATTGGTTTTGATGCCCCCCCTCGATAGCAACTGGCAATTCTGATTTCATTTCACTGCCATACAATGTGTTCCCATTCACTTCGTAGTACTGTCCGCGTAATCGCGAGCACCACATGCAGATGTATGACTGAGCAGACAGCATACACCACGTCCCAACGAATTCCCTTATACTTATCTAGCTTCCTATCCCTACTCCAATCAGTCTAGTCGCACAGCAACCATGTTTCACAAGATCTCCAAACTCTTCTTCTTTGTCACCCTCCTCATTCTCACAGCCATCCCCAATGTCGTCTTCATCGACAGCCTCCTAGACTGGGTCTTCGCCCCCCACCACACCCGCGGCCTCGTCTGTCCCTCGCTCCGCTACGGCTGTTGCACAGATCTGGAAGCATGGCGGACGGGCCAACCCTGCACTTCTCCGCGCGCGACGACGAACCCTGATGACTGCTTTCATAGGAAGCAGTGGGCATGTTGTCAGGGAGAGGTGAGCCATTCTCGTGTGCGAGAGAGTGGAGTGGTGGGATAAGGAGCTAACTATGTGGTAGAATTACTCGTTTACCTGCACGACTGGGTTCAAGAAGGGTATGAGTGATCTCAAGTACGATGTGGTCTATGGATGGCGCTCGGGTACGAGTGATCACTACTTTGGGATTGGGAAGGGCGCTCTGACGGATCAGGAGAAGCAGGCACTGGGACGAACCAGCTGATGGTTGTGCCTGAAGTGCAAATCGGCTCAAAAGACGGCTGCCGCTTCGATCGTAGATTGCAAGGCGAGTGTGGTGTGCACTGACTGGATGGAAAATGCAGCAATTCGAGATGGTGAACATCGGAACTTCGTAGGCTTTTTGGACAAGAGTTAGACTGAACAATGAAGCGGCTCTGCTTACTGTACTATCCTTCGATACTCGGCCACGCTATATGCGGCAAGAGTAACCAACGGATAATAATTCAGCGTCTATCTTTCCACCACGCCACTCAAATCCTCGGTGTGAAACTTATAACACGTCGAAACGCAGAAAATTGGTATCCCAGCGCACGCCCCCAATGCAATAACCACGAACCCATACGAAACGTCTACCCCTGTGCAGCAGCAGCCCGCGCCCTCGTCTAGAAAGTCTCCTCATCGAGACCCTCAGCGCCTTCAGCAGGGATCTCAAAGCCCTCCTCAGTCGAATAGAGGATGGTCTGGATCTGCTTAAGGAGACCCTCGTCCTTCTCAAGCTCGGGGTCAGCCTCCATGGCCTGCTGGATGAGGAGCTCGATGTCCCTCAGCTTGCTGAAGTAGAAGTCGCGCTCGCGTTCCAGACCGGAGACGGTCTCCTTGAGTTGTGTATTCTCCTCTTTCAGAGCTGCACTTGCCGCGCCCCCGGCGGGGGCCAACGGTGTCCTAGTTCGCGGTGCGGCGGAGTTGCTCGCGGCGGGCGCTCTCCTTGCAGCAGCAGGTGCGGCACGGGGTGCGGGTGCGCCGCCGCCACCAGTCACGGCCTTTGCGCCACGGCGCGCCACGGGGTCGTAGTCGTGGCCGGGGAAGTGCTGGTCCCAGTATTGCTTGACGAACTGAAGGAACTCGAGATTGTCCTGCATCTTGCACTTTACAAGGGACTCGACGCGGATTGGCTTGTCAACGTGATGTTTGGC